ATCTTCATATCCGGTCACATGGGCGTCAAGCCACTCCCATCAGGTCACATGGGCGTCAAGCCACTCCCACAAAGGAGGCCACACCCACAGAGTAGTTTCGAACAATTTTTGAAACCCACCACTGGATACCTCCCTCCCTTCCCAGTACAACAGGGCTACATATTTGATGATATTGTCATACACCTGTCCGTGCAAAGAAGCCTACCTTTTATGAAACTAGCCAAAAATAAAGAGAGAAACAATAGGGAGTAGAAAAGAAAATTTTTGGGGAGAGCCATCCAAACAAACTACCGTGTTTTCCCGAAAATAAGACAGGGTCTTATTTTCTTTTGATCCCCCAAAATGTGCTTATTTTGGAGGAGGTCTTATTATTTTTGAGGTGCAGGAGGCAGCAAGCATGGTCACCTCATGACTACTGCTGTCTTGCAATATTTTGGGGAGGGTTTATTTTGGGGGGAGGGCTTATTTTAGCGCATACGCTCAAAAGCCCAATTGGGCTTATTATCCGGGGAAGTCTTATTTTCAGGAAACAGGGTATTGAAATGGGATAGAAAAAATTCCTAAGAAAAGAACTAAGACATATAAAAAGAAGAAAAAGAGGAAAATAATCTAGGAGCAGCGGATAAGTAAAATGAAATGAAATATATTAATCGTGGGAATAGCATGTCTCTAGTTAAGATGTGCACGGACTATCCTAATGCTTTTAAATGTGCAGATTAATGATGTTAAAGGTTTACTACAAAAAAATTGAATTTGAAGATGCATGTCACTTATAGACAATAGATGGAAAGGAAATGATAAATTTGGTTTATCTCTAAAGGGAAGAAAAATAGACACTGTTTATGTACTGGATATAATAAAAATCAAAAGTTGGAAGATATGAGAAGAAAAATACGGCTAAAATTGGGAATAGAAATGGAAATATATAAAATGAATTATGCATGTTAAAGCGGGGAAACCGGACAACACTTCTTTTGAAAAAAAATTTTTATTATTAAAACAAAAAAAAAAAAAAAAAAAAAA